CGTGTTCCAGTCATCTTTTTTGTTAGTCTCTAAGGTGCTGCAGAACCATTCGTTGTTTTTTCAGTTACAGACTAACACAACTTTCAAAGTACAAGTAAGCAATCCTGGTACATGGAATGGATGCCTCGGTCTGGAGAGCCTCTGAGGGCAGAAGGAGCTTGTCACAGGGTGAGCTGTCCTTTCAAAAGTACTCAGCCTGAGTCATCTATTCCCAGCTTAGCAAATGTGAGAGGGAAGGGCCAGGCAGGAGGCCTATATGAGTGCATAGAAAAACACCCTGGGAAGAAAGGTAGGGAAGGGCAGGTTAGCTTTTTGGCAGATAGTCCAATAGTTCAAGATACCAGGCTGGGAAATCAAAGTAGAGGATGGATGTGGGTTCCCCCTATGCTGTCACCTCTGCCAAAAAGGAGAGGAGCCCAGAAGAAGGGTTACAGACTATAATAAGGAAAGAGATAGCAGGCCCTAAGAGGAATGGGCATGTATCCCTGGGATCATCACCCACATTTCACCAAAGGGGCTGTGTGCAGTCTTGGCCAAAAATTAAGAAGTCTCTGGAGGCCATGGCTATTGTGGGGTGTAAGCACGGAAAATATTATGTCTCATGTCAAATATTGTGGTCCCAAGTCACTGGCGGTGAAAGTGGTCATTTGGGTGATGGGGTAGTTCTTAAGAGTTGACTCAATGAATATTGAGAACAACTGACATCTTTTGACCCAGGCTTGCCAAGTGTTGACAATCTAGACAATGGGCAGGCTTGGGCCTTTATAAAGCACAAAAAGAGCCCAGGAAAAAGACTTAGAATAGCGACACCATTGGGGTGAAGAGAAGTTACAGAAACACCCTGGTTATGAAAAGACACAAAACTGGGTAAGAGGAATAAGAAGGGCACAAGTCTTTATCCATTAGAGCAATGCTTTCCAACTGCCAGGCTACAGCCCAGTGCCGGGCTGGCTGCTGGGCCACGGCAGCTCTTGGGGCTGGGACTGGGGTACACCACCTAGAGCCTCCCCTCCTGCCACGGCTGTTGGGAGAGGGAACAGCTGCAACCCGGGCAGCAGCACTCACTTGGTGGCTGGGAGGCAGCACAGAGCTAGGTGAGGTGGGCGAGGCAGGCACTGGGGACTCTGGGGGCTGAGCTAGTGTAGGGAGTTCTGGGGGTGGGGGACTTTAAGAGGTGGGGGACTGGCAGTGGGGGGGCATCCAGGGTGGGGAGCTGACACTGGGGAGGATTCTGAGGGCCAGGGCTTTTGGCAAACCAGTAACAGTCTATTTGCATATTCATTATTTGCATAACGAATATGCAAATAGACTGTTACCGGCCCGCCAAAAGTCTGTGAATGGGTTTGCTGGTCTGCAATATAAAGAAGGCTGGGAACTAGCAGAGAGGTAACTTTCTCCCAGCCTGTCTCAGGAAAAGTGGAGCCCAGCTCTTCTGAGTGCATAAGAAGGACTGATCACTGGATTAGAACTTATGAGACAGGAAAGGGCCCGATTTATAAGTACAGGCACCAGACGGCATTTGATATATTTTATCTGTCACTATGTTTCGGGTCTTTATAGTTGCTTCTATGTGACTCTTTAGCTTAAGCTATGTCAAAGCTCTGTTTGATTTTAGAAACCCAATAAAGTGGTGGGTGTGTGAAAAGAGTGTGTGCTGAACAGAGGTGAAGCTAATGCCTTGGGGGCAATGGGACACTATTTCTACACAGGCAGTAAATCTGAGCCCATTCCGGGTGTCCAGAAGCCCAGGCACTGGTCACCTGAGTGCAATGTGGGAGGGACCTGACAGGCTGGAGGGACCTGTGCCCCAGCCCCAGAGTTCTGCTCTGGCCCTATCTCCACAGGTTGTTTCTGCTCTGTCCCAGACTCAGAGAGACTGAGGGAA